GCATCAGAGGTTTTGCAGCCTCTCCCTCTTTACTGCAAAAATAAATAAATAAATTTTTATTGCAGAGATTTCCTTGCTCTGCTTTCTGGGAGCCAAGGCAGCTGTGGGGCTGCTCCCCACCTGCAAAATCCACCCCCTTCTCTCGGGTTTGGTGCTGCTGAAATGGCTCCTGAGGTGTCAAAAAGTCTGTTTATTTTCCCAGCCCCACAGGAAAAATTCCCAGCAAATTCCAGCATCAGCTCCCAGGGACAGCTGGGGTTTGCAGGGGGCACTTCCCACACAGAATCCCAAAAGGGTTTGGGTTGGAAGTGACCCTGAAGCTCCTCCAGTTCCAACCCTGGTGGCCCCGGATCCCTCTCCCATCCAGGTGAGCATCCCCAGGTGTCCCTGGATCCTTCTCCTGTCCAGGTGAGCATCCCCAGGTGTCCCTGGATCCCTCTCCCATCCAGGTGAGCATCCCCAGGTGTCCCTGGATCCCTCTCCCATCCAGGTGAGCATCCCCAGGTGTCCCTGGATCCCTCTCCCGTCCAGGTGAGCATCCCCAGGTGTCCCTGGATCCCTCTCCCATCCAGGTGAGCATCCCCAGGTGTCCCTGGATCCCTCTCCCATCCAGGTGAGCCCCCCAGGTGTCCCTGGATCCCTCTCCCGTCCAGGTGAGCCCCCCAGGTGTCCCTGGATCCCTCTCCCGTCCAGGTGAGCATCCCCAGGTGTCCCTGGATCCCTCTCCCGTCCAGGTGAGCATCCCCAGGTGTCCCCCCTGGCTCCAGAGGGGCTCCAGTCCTGGAACATCCCCGGTTCCTCCTCTGGGTGAGCTCCAGGTGGGATCCCGGGCTGGGGCAGCTCTGCAGGTGCGGTCTCACCTGTGGATGGATGGATTTGGGGGCAGAGATCCCAAATCCCGGTGTCCAGGTGCCGGGGATCCCCTTTCCCGTTCTCTTTCCCGTTCTCTTTCCCGTTCCCGAGCCCGGCCCCGGCTGCTCCGCAACCTTCGGGCTCTCTCTTGTGGCTGCTCAGCCCCGCTGCAGCCTCGCCGGGCATCCCGAGCGCCCCGGCCCCGCTGCCCCTCCCCGGGTCCCCCCAGCCCCTCCCGGGGTCCCCCCAGCCCCTCCCGGGGTCCCCATCCCCGCTCCTTCCCGATGGAGCCGCCCCGAAATTGGGAAAATGCCAGGGGCAGGGTGGGAGCAGGACCCTGCAGTGCCCATCCCGCGGCTCCGTCCGTCTGTCCCAGCCCCTCCCAGTCTGGCCCAGCGCCTCCCAGTCCGTCCCAATCCATCCCAATCCCTCCCAGTTCATCTCAGTCCCTTCCAGTCCATCCCAATCCCTTCCAGTCTGTCCCAGTGCCTCCCAGTCCATCCCAACCCATCCCAGTCCATCCCAATCCGTCCCAATCCCTCCCAGTTCATCCCAGTTCCTTCCAGTCCATCCCAGTGCCTCCCAATCCCTCAAAGTCCATCCCAGTCCCTCCCAATCCATCGTAGTCTCATTCCCAGTCCATCCCAGTCCCTCCCAGTTGGTCCCAGTCCATCCCAACACGCAGCCCCCAGTCCTGACTCATCCCCCAGCCCCTCCATCTCTCCCCCTCTCCCTTCTCTCTGGACTTTTCCTGATTTTCTCCAGATTTTCCCCCAAATTTTTCCCGATTTTCCCCCAATTTTTCCTGATTTTTCCCGATTTTTCCGTGGCTGCCTCACGGGCTGTAATTCAGAGCCTCCTCTGAGCTGTGGAACCCAAGGAAAGCCCCTCTCCTCCTCCCTCTCCCCTTTATAATTTTATTTTTTCCCCCCCTCCCTGCAGCATGTAAAGGGACAACAGCGCTCTTTTGCATTTCTGAGTTGGTTCTGTTAATTGGAACGAGAGTTAAGGGCCTGCAAGGTCATTTCAATCTCTGGATTTTTCTCTGGATTTTTCCTGATTTTTTCCCCCAATTTTTCTTGATTTTTCCTCTGGATTTTCCCCGATTTTTCCCTATTTTTCCGTGGCTGTAATTAAGAGCCTCCTCTAGGCCGTGGAACCCAAGGAAAGCCAAGGAAAGCCCCTCTCATCCTCCCTCTCCCCCTTCATAATTTTATTTTTGCAGCACATAAAGGGATGACAGCGCTCCGAGCCGGGCTCTTTTGCATTTCTGAGTTGGTTCTGTTAATTGGAAGGAGGGTTAAGGACCTGCAAGGTCATTTAAATCTCTGGATTTTTCTCTGGATTTTTCCTGATTTTCTCCCAATTTTTCTTGATTTTTTCTGCGGATTTTTTCCCGATTTCCCCCCAATTTTTCTTGATTTTTCTCTGGATTTTCCCCGATTTTTTTCCTGATTTTTCCCCGATTTTTCCTGATTTTTCCCGATTTTTCCGTGGCTGCCTCACGGGCTGTAATTCAGAGCCTCCTCTGAGCTGTGGAACCCAAGGAAAGCCCCTCTCATCCTCCCTCTCCCCCTTTATAATTTTATTTTTGCAGCACATAAAGGGATGACAGCGCTCCGAGCCGGGCTCTTTTGCATTTCTGAGTTGGTTCTGTTAATTGGAAGGAGGGTTAAGAACCTGCAAGGTCGTTTCAATCTCCATCTGACCTTCAGAGTAATCCTCTATGCCAACACCAGAGCATGTCATTAAAATGAGGCCCCTCTTCCACATCCCGCCGTCCCTTTATTCTCTCCTTGTGCACATTAATTGCTCATAAGTTGATTTGATCTCCCCATTCTGCAAGAAGTAAATTGCCCTCTTATTTCGCCATTTTCATCCTGTTTTCTTAATTAGGCCCTTAAAAATCTCTGAGGGCCTCAGCCGGGCCCGCAGGCCTCATCCTGGGAATAAATTTTGATCTCAGGCTGATAAAGAGTGAGCAGAGCCCGGGCTGGAACAATGTCACGGGCTGCCCTCCCTCCCCACGTGCTATTCTCCTGACATGAAAAGGCTATCAGTTTTTTCTCTGTGTTAATATAGGAAATAATTCACACTTCAGGCGTTGTTCTCTATTTAGCGCTCGCGCTCCCCTGATAAATCAAATCAGGGATTTTTTTTTTTTTTTAAATTTTTTTTTTTCTCTCTAAAGTGTCTGGAGCCACTCGTTCCTTCTCCCCCGCTCACCACCTTCAGCCTCTTCTTGCTCTTTTTTCCCCTCCTTCTCTTTTTAATAAAGTTTCCAAGATAAACCCCTGTGATTTTCCAATTGAAGGTGGATTTTCTTGCTTTTTTTCCCCATCCTGTGTGTGTTTAACACCAGCACTGAGGGGAATGGGAACCTGGCACGTGGCTGAGGGCCTGCAGACGTGGCTTGGGATAAGTTTTACCAGGAACAAACTTTTAAATTCTACTTTAAAAGTAATTTTTTCCCCTTTGCACAAAGCAGGAGAGCCCCCAAAACCTGCCTGGCCCAGCACCCAGAGGGGTTCTGCAAAACCCCGAGACAAAGAAGCAGCTGCCACGCTCCAGGGATGTTGTAAATAAATATATTTTTAATGATTCTTCTTCCATTCCAGTTCATTCTTTTATACATTTATTTATAAAACAGTAGTAAAATTTTTTAATCAGAGCACAGTGCATTAAAAAAAAAAAAAAAAAAAAAACAAACAAAAAACTCCCAAAAAAGATTTAAAAAAAAAAAATATCGTAATTATAATCCACAACTGTGTACTCACTGCCAGGGGAGACATCTCGTGCTGAGCAGTGGCCAGGGCACCCTAAAGCCACAAAAATCTGAATTTCCTGTGGGATTTCGTGCCCTGGAGGGCACAGACTGTCCCACAGCCAGGTCCCCAGCACGGCCAGCGGTGACCCTGGTGGGGACAATTCTCTTTGCAGGCACTGACGGCAGCACACAAAGGGTGCCAAGGCCTCCTGTGAACGCCCCCGGAGCTCTGAGCTCTCCTGGATCCTCCTCTTCCTCACCTGGAGCCCCTCCCAGGCCACCCAGCGTCCCCTCAGGTCCCTGCCCTGCTCCAACTCCTCCTCACTCTGCACTTCCCCACACCCTCACATCCCACAGACCCCTCTGTGGGGCTGTTCCCACCTCCAACCCCAAATCCTGTCACCAGGGGCCACCTGTGTCCCCCCAGGACATCCCTGTGTCCCGCCAGGACATCCAGCTCCAGGATGGGGACACACAGTGACCCCACAGCCCAGCACAGACCCCTCTGTGGGGCTGTTCCCACCTCCAACCCCAAATCCTGTCACCAGGGGCCACCTGTGTCCCCCCAGGACATCCCTGTGTCCCGCCAGGACATCCAGCTCCAGGATGGGGACACACAGTGACCCCACAGCCCAGCACAGACCCCTCTGTGGAGCACCTCCAATCCCAAATCCTGTCACCAGGGGCCACCTGTGTCCCCCCAGGACATCCCTGTGTCCCTCCAGGTCACCTCTATGTCCCCCCAGGTCACCCCTGTGTCCCCCCAGGACACCCAGCCCCAGGATGGGGACACAGAGTGACCCAGGGGGGACCATTCCCAAGGGGTCTCCTCTCCTCTCCAGCTTCTCTCCCTCAATAAACCCTGGAGGGCTTTCCATCCTTTCCTTGCCCTCCCAGCTGGGTTGGGAAGTCAGGACCAGAGCAGCTCCTCAGTCCAGAGCTGTGGAACAAACTGGTGACACTGGGAGGAGGAACAAGCCCTGAATTCCCAGCTGGGAGCAGCAGCTCGGCTTTGGCAGCTGGCACCAACCATTCCCTGCTCACAGCCTGGAGCTCCCTGCCCTCGTGGGGCAGGACTTGCAAGGAGTATCCCCAAAAAAATTAGTGGAAAACCTTTTTATCCTCCCAGGAAAACCCTTTTAACCCTTTTATCCTCCCAGAAAACCTTTTTAACCCTTCTATCCTCCAGGACAGAGCTGGGGGTGTCACAGGGCACAAACACTGGTTGGGGACACCTCCAGGACACTCAGGGTCACCTGGCAGCCTTGCCCCGAGGTTTTGGGGTGCTGGGGGTGACAACGGGGGGTTGGTGGAGCATCAAACCCCCCCATTCCAGGTGTTCTGGAACTTTCACCAGCCACCTGCAGACAACACCCCCAGCGGTGCTGTATTAATGAACGCACTCTAATTAACCCTGCTGGGACCCCAGAGGCAGTGAGTGCCCCCAGCAAGGAGGAACTGGGTGCACTGGGAAGCATCCAGGGGCTGAGGAGGACTCGGTGGGGATGAAGGATCCCAGAGCAAGGTGAGGAGACACCAAACAGGACACAAAGCTCACGGGGGCTCCAGGCTCCCAGGCACCACCCCGGGGAAGGGGGTGAGGCCGGGAGGCTGCAGCTGAAAGGCAAAGCAGCCCAGATGTCACTGCCAGGCTGTGCGATCTGCAGTCAGGCCAAGCCACGAAGGTCCATCCTCCTCCTCCTCCTCCTCCTGGCCAAAAGAAGCTGTGACAGACTCGGTGGCACCCGAGCCCTCCTTGCATAGACAAAGGAACTCCTGGGGAGACCCGGGTGCGTGGTGGGACGGGCTCCTCCTGCCAGGAGGCTCCTGGGCCGTGCCCACCCAAAGCTGAGCTGCAACCCCTGCCCTGGCAGCTGCCCCGTCACAGCATGTCCGCGTCCTCCATGCTGAAGCTGCTGCGGCGGCTGCTGGCCTTGGAGGCCTCGGGGGACACGGCTGAGAACAGGGGGTCAGAGGCCAGCGGCAGCATCGTGTCCTGCATCAGCATCAAGTCCAGCTCCTTCTTGGATAGGGATGGGAAGGAGGAGCTGGGCTCCAGGCTGTCCGGGAAGGAGCCGTCGTCGAAGCTCAGGCTGTGGGTGAAGTCCAGCTGGTGATAGGGGGACTGAGGGGGCACGGGCAGCGCTGGCTGAGGCTGTGACTCGGCCTCTGGGGGTGGCAGCAGTGGCTCCAGGGTCCCCTCGTCCCCGCTGGCTTCTTGCTTGACCACTTGCTGAGCCAGCTCGGCCACGTTGACGCCCGAGGGTGAAGAGGTGGGCAGCCCATGGACACGGGCCTGCATCTCCAGCTCCTGCCAACAGGACACAGAGGGGGTGTCACACTCAGGGACATGGCACAGGGACATTTACAGAGGTGGGCAGCCCATGGACACGGGCCTGCATCTCCAGCTCCTGCCAAGGGGACACAGAGGGGGTGTCACACTCAGGGACATGGCACAGGGACATTTACAGAGGTGGGCAGCCCATGGACACGGGCCTGCATCTCCAGCTCCTGCCAAGGGGACACAGAGGGGGTGTCACACTCAGGGACATGGCACAGGGACATTTACAGAGGTGGGCAGCCCATGGACACGGGCCTGCATCTCCAGCTCCTGCCAAGGGGACACAGAGGGGGTGTCACACTCAGGGACATGGCACAGGGACATTTACAGAGGAGGTGGGCAGCCCATGGACATGGGCCTGCATCTCCAGCTCCTGCCAAGGGGACACAGAGGGGGTGTCACACTCAGGGACATGGCACAGGGACATTTACAGAGGAGGTGGGCAGCCCATGGACACGGGCCTGCATCTCCAGCTCCTGCCAAGGGGACACAGAGGGGGTGTCACACTCAGGGACATGGCACAGGGACATTTACAGAGGAGGTGGGCAGCCCATGGACACGGGCCTGCATCTCCAGCTCCTGCCAACAGGACACAGAGGGGGTGTCACACTCAGGGACATGGCACAGGGACATTTACAGAGGTGGGCAGCCCATGGACACGGGCCTGCATCTCCAGCTCCTGCCAAGGGGATACAGAGGGGGTGTCACACTCAGGGACATGGCACAGGGATGTTTACAGAGGTGGGCAGCCCATGGACACGGGCCTGCATCGGACACAGAGGGGTTTTGAGGGGATGTCACACTCAGGGACACGGCACAGGGATGTTTAGGGAGGTGAGAAGCTCCTGGTGACTTCCCAGCAAAAAAAAAGCGGGAGACTGTCACACACATCTTTTATGGAAAATCCTTTCCTTAGGATTTTTCCTCCTGAGAAGCTGGGAGGCCTCAGGAACAAAATGTAAACATTGATTATCTGCTGCTGTGGGATGAAATAGGTGCATCTGTGACTGGCCCATGTTGGTTGTTTCTAATTAATGGCCAATCACAGTCAGCTGGCTCAGACTGTGTGTCCGAGCCACAAACCTTTGTTATCATTCCTTCTTTTTCTATTCTTAGCCAGCCTTGTGATGAAATCCTTTCTTCTACTCTTTCAGTACAGTTTTAATATATATAATGAAATATAAATAAAATAATAAATATAATCAGATATAGATATAGATATAGATATGATATATAGATATAGATATAGATATAGATATAGATATAGATATATAGATATAGATATAGATAGATACAAATATAGATACAGATATATAGATATAGATATATATATAGATATAGATATAGATAGATACAGATATAGATACAGATATATAGATATAGATATAGATACAGATACAGATATAGATATATAGATATATAGAGATCTAGATCTAGATACAGATATATAGATATAGATATATAGATATATAGATAGATATAGATATAGATATAGATATAATAAAGTAATAGATATAGATATAATAAAGTAATAAATCAGCCTTCTGTAACATGGAGTCAGATCCTCGTCTCTTCCCTCATCCTCGGACCCCTGTGAGCACGGTCACAGGAGACACCCTGGCCATGCCCTCAGCAGGGCAGGAGTGAGGGTTGGGTGGGGTGAGGACCGGGCAGAGCCAGGGGAGCTCACCTGGATGCGGAGCAGCAGCTGCTTGTTGGCCATCTCCAGGCGCCGCGAGTGGTTCTCCAGGTCCCGGGACCTCTGCAGGTCCTTCTGCATCCTCTTGATGTAGTCCACGGACGCCTTCAGGATTGTCCCTTTGTTCCAGCGCACGTCCCTGTCACCCAGCATGGAAAAAGGGATGGACCTGGCTGCCAGCAGTGTGGCCACTCCACCCAGAAAGCCCTCGGTGACCCCAATCCTGTGTAGCCATGATATTTTCTGAAAAATCTTTTCTTCAGGATTTTTTCTCCTGAGAAGCCTCAGGAACAAAATGTAAACATTGATTTACAATGACACCTGTTGCTGCTGTGGAATGCAACAGGTGGATCTGTGACTGGTCTCATGTGGTTGTTTCTAATTAATGGCCAATCACAGTCCAGCTGTCCAGACTGTCTCAGTCAGTCACAAGATTTTGTTATCATTCTTTTTCTATTCTTAGCCAGCCTTCTGATGAAATCCTTTCTTCTATTCTTTAAGTATAGTTTTAATATAATATATATAATGAAATAATAAATCAAGCCTTCTGAAACATGGAGTCAGATCCTCGTCTCTTCCCTCATCCTGAGCCCCCTGTGAGCACCACCCCAATCCTGCAGGAGCCATGGATACCTACAGGTCGTTGGCTTTGGGGATCAGCATTCCCAGCTCCTTGATGCGGTCGTTGATGTTGAACCTTCGCCTCCTCTCGACTGTGGGTGAGAGGAGAGGGATGGAAGTGAGCAGGCAGCAAGCAGGGAAGGCTCTGTGTCCCTCCCACGTGTCCTTCCTGTCCCTCATGTCCCACATCCCTCTGTAGTGCCCCAAAGGAATTGGGGAGCCCAGCATGAGGGAGCTCAGGAGCCAGCCCTGCTCCACGCCTGGCCCAGCAGCTCTGATCCTCCCTTTGGGTTTGTCGCAGACATCTTTTATGAAATATCTTTCCCTTAGGATTTTTCCTCCTGAGAAGCTGAGAGGCCTCAGGAACAAAATGTAAACAATGGTTATCTGCTGCTGTGGAATGCAACAGGTGCATCTGTGATTGGTCTCATGTGGTTGTTTCTAATTAATAGCCAGTCGCAGTCAGCTGGCTTGGACAGAGAGTCTGAGCCACAAACCTTTATAATTCCTTTTTCTATTCTTAGCCAGCCTTGTGATGAAATCCTTTCTTCTATTCTTTTAGTACAGTTTTAATATAATATACATCATAAAATAATAAATCAAGCCTTCTGAAACACGGAGTCAGATCCTCGTCTCTTCCCTCATCCTGAGACCCCTGTGAGCGCCACCGCAGGGTTCCCATCTGAGAAGGGCTGGGCAGGATGAATCCCACTGGGAGGCACCGGCTGCCCCATGGATCTGCCCCTGGTGCTGCTCTGGGGAAGCTCCTGGCAGGGAAACCTCTCCTGGCTCTCCCATCTCCCCAGCCTTGCTCCCTCACCATCCCTCTCTCCCACCTCTCCAGCTTTTCCAAAGGGTTCCCAACCAACCTGATCCCCCCAGGTGTCCCCTGCACCCCACTGTGCACAGCCAGCAAGGAGGGGCTCAGGGGGCTCCCCTGAGGGTCAGCTGGGATGGGAAAGGGGGCCCAGCTCAGGGGAATGAGGATGAAGAGCGATGGGGAAAGCAGAGCTGAACTCACTCAGGTTGTGATTGTCTTTCTTCTGCCGCTCTTTAGCCAGGGCTCGGCTCTCAGCATCTGCAAGAGACCCAGGGTGTCACCCAGAGGGGACAAAGCTGCCCCAGGGCTGGCACTGGGGTCCCTGTACCCCCATTTCTGTCCCTTGCTCTGGGGCCAGGACGTACCTGTGAGCTCTCTCTTCTGGGTGAGCTCGGCGGGGCAGGAGCTGCTGGTGACACCAACGAGCGACGCTGTCACCTGAGGGTCCCCACTGTAGACATTCATGTGGCTGCTGGACATGGGCAGCTGGAAAGCAGAGGGACAGCTGGGTTAGCTCCATGCAGGGCTGGGCACCGGGATCACACCCAGCCGGGCAGGTGGAATTGTCCTCCCAGGTCCTTAAAGCAGCTTTCACCAGAGCAGGAAAGAAAACAGGACTTGAAAGGGCACAGCTGATCCCCTCCCATGGCCAACATCTACAACAGGGCAGGTGAATCACACCTGAGAAGGGCTGGGCAGGATGGATCCCACTGGGAGGCACCAGCTGCCCCATGGATCTGCCCCTGGTGCTGCTCTGGGGAAGGTCCTGGCAGGGAAACCTCTCCTGGCTCTATTCCCCACCCTCTCTCCCACCTCTCCAGCTTTTCCAAAGGGTTCAAACTCTCCTCCAGGGGGAAAAAAGCTGGAAAATTGATTCTTGTGGGTGTTACTGCCTCCAAGGACAAGGCTGGCTTAGGGACCACTGTGGGGACGTGGCAGAAGGTTCCCTCTGTACCTGCCAGGACAGGGCTGTGACACCCCCAGGCCCTCCCTGTCACCCCCACTCACCGTGTTGGGCATGTGGACTTCAGGGTTCATGTAGCCCAAAACATCATCCAGGCGCATGATGTCATCGATGACCTCATCAAACTGAAAGGGAAAGGGACAAGTGACCGTGGGCTCCTCTGCCATCCCCAACACCCTGTGTGTCCCCAGCAGCCTGGGGAAAGCAAACAAATTCTACAATTTTGTGAAAGTTGTAAAGCTGTAAATGTTTATTACAGTGCTGGAGCATGTGGAGATCACTCTCTTTAAAAGACCTGTGCACCTCTGGGAGCTCCAGATCCTTTTTTATCCCCCTCTCAATACACATGCCTGCCATTTCACAACAGGTTCACACATATTTTTACAGATTTCTCGTGACATTTGCCACTAATTCTTCTTTATCAGGAAGAATTCTTGGGTCAGGTTGACCTGCTCTTGTAGCAGTCTCTCTGTCCCTCTGTCAGGCCACCACTTTTGGCTGAAGCAGCTTCTCTGAGCACAGGCTTTTATGAGAACAGGCAGCCAGATGTTGCCTGAGCTCCCTCATGCTGGGCTCCCCAATTCCTTTGGGGCACTACAGAGGGATGTGGGACATGAGGGACAGGAAGGACACGAGGGAGGGACACAGAGCCTTCCCTCCTTGCTGCCTGCTCACTTCCATCCCTCTCCTCTCACCCACAGTCGAGAGGAGGCGAAGGTTCAACATCAACTTTCAAACCACGCACTTAACTCAAAGATGCACATTTCACCCAAACCAAAATGCATTTCTACTCTGGAGAATTCCCAGAGCAGGGGACAGCGCTCACCTCCCTCTCGGGGTTGGAGCCGATGTTGAGCATGGCCATGGGGCTGTTGGGAGCGCTGTTGCCCGCGGAGGAGGACAGGACGTGGCCGGGCCGGACGCCGGGGGACGCGGCCGGGGGTGGCTTGGGCGAGTGGCTGGCGGGGCTGACGTGGGCAGCAAACTTGTTCCCGTAGGTCTCAGAGAGATAAGCCTGCACCTTCTTGTCCCGGGACTTCTGCAGGTGGTAGGAGGTGGGGTTCTCCAGGTAGGACTGGACCTGCATGGACAGAACCCATCAGGGACCCGGGTGGAGGTGGCACGGACGTATTTTATGAAAAATCCTTTTGCTAGGATCTTTTCTCCTGAGAAGCTGAGAGGCCTCAGGAACAAAATGTAAACAATGGTTATCTGCTGCTGTGGGATGCAACAGAATCTGTGATTGGTCTCATGTGGTTGTTTCTAATTAATGGCCAATCACAGCCCAGCTGTCTCGAACTCTGATCAGTCATGAGATTTTATTATCATTCCATTCCTTTTTATTCCTTGCTAGCCTTCTGATGAAATCCTTTCTTCTATTCTTTTAGTATAGTTTTAGTATATCATTTTCATATAATATAATATAATATGATATACTATTATAATATAATATAATGTAATGTAATGTAATGTAATGTAATATAATATAATATAATATGTATATATGGTAATGTGCAATATATTATAATATGTAGATAATGTAACATGATATATTATATCATACCATATTATAATATTGCATAATATAATATATAATATATAATATATTATATGTTATATATTATATATTATGTTAATATAATATAATATAATATAATATAATATAATATAATATATAATGTAATATATAATGTAATGTAATGTAATGTAATGTAATGTAATATAAATAATATATATAATAAAATAATAAATCAGCCTCCTGAAACATGGAGTCAAAGTCATCTCTCCCCTCACCCTGTGACCACCACCACCCCCACCTGGAGGGCACCAGGGTACCTTGAGCACCTCCCCGGGCACGGGCGGAGGGGACTGGAAGTGGACGGGGGTGTTGATGGCGGGGCTGGAGGCCACGGGCATGCGCTGCTGCTGCATGTAGCTCATCATCATCTGCTGCTGCACCCGCTCCCGCTCGGCTTCCTGCTGCGCCTGCTGCTTCATCAGCTCCATCCGCAGCCCGATGCGCGACGCCATGGCGGCACACGGGGACGGAGGCCACCGGCCCGCCTGGCACAGAGGTCACCCTGTCGGGAGGACACGGCACGTCACCCACAGCCTGCCAGGAGGACACGGCATGTCACCCACAGACTGGCACAGTGGGGAAACTGAGGCACAGAGAGACATCCCAGAGTGCCCACCCTGGCACAGAGGTCACCCTGCCACGAGGACATGGCATGTCACCAACACCCTGCCAGGAGGACACAGCACGTCACCCACAGCCTGCCAGGAGGACACCGACAGCCTGGCACAGCGGGGAAACTGAGGCACAGAGAGACATCCCAGAGCACCCACTATGGCACTGAGGTCACCCTGCCAGGAGGACACAGCATGTCACCAACACCCTGCCAGGAGGACACAGCACATCACCCACAGCCTGCTAGGACACGGCACAGCACTGACAGTCTGGCACAGCAGGGAAACTGAGGCACAGAGAGACGTCCACTCTGGCTCCTGATTAAACCAGGAGGAGAATCCCAGGGCTGGCTGAGGACCTGGTGCCACCACCCAGCCTGGCTGTGACACCCCCACCCCACAGCTGTGCCCTTACACAAAACCAGGCTGAGGAAGCCAAAAGCACCCCTAGGAAGCTCTAGAGAAGGGAAATTATCGAGGATGGGGATGGGGATGGGGAAGGGTGGCCAGAGCTGGGATTGGCGAGGAGAGGGGGGAATTTAGGGTTTGGCAGGAAGGGAACCCCGATGGAGCAGCCAGGACCCCGCGCCGTGCACTCACCCCGGAGCCAGCAGAGCCCAGCGCGAGCCCGGCAGCGAAAGGGAAACAGAAAGTGAGGGCAGAGCAGCAAGAAAAGGCCGGAGGGTGCCAGGAGCCGGGGGCAGGAGCTGGCAAAGCCGGGGGCAGGAGCAGGCAAAGCCGGCTCGGGACAAGGCCGGCTCTGTGCTCTGTGCCGGAGCCGCACGCGAGCGCGGGGACGGGGGGACCACAGCGGCCCCAGCCCGGCACAGAGCGGCCCTTGTTCCTTGGGACAAAGGGGACGGCGGCTCCAGAGGGTGGGGGACGCCTGCCGGGGCTCCAGGAGCCACCCCCGGCCACCCCGGCAGGGCTGGGATGCAGGAGATGCTGCAGCACCGCTGGGATGCAGGAGATGCTGCGGCATCGCTGGGATGCAGGAGATGCTGCGGCATCGCTGGGATGCAGGAGATGCTGCGGCATCGCTGGGATGCAGGAGATGCTGCAGCACCGCTGGGATGCAGGAGATGCTGCAGCATCGCACAAGAGGCAGAGGGAAAGCTGCGAGGGGAAAGCAGAGAAATTTAAACAGGGTTTTGCTGTTTAAATGCAAGTTCAGAGGTGGAAGGGCCTCGGTGGTGAGAGCCACACCGAGCTGTGCCACGAGTTACCCGGAGGGGAAATGAAATCAAGGCAGTGTGGAGGATGACACAGCTCAGGAGCAGCTACAGAGGGCCAGGGGAGGGGAATTAAGGATGACACAGCTCAAGAGCAGTTATTTAGCAGCCAGGGGAAGGGAATTCATCAGCCATGGTGGCCTGGCCCCAGGGGGATGGCAGCCCAGAGCCGGGGACAGCGATCCACTGGAGCTTCGTGAAGGGAAATGTGGGAACAGACCTGGAGGAGGGCACGGGAGGGGATTTGGGGTGAGAAACAGAGCCCTGGAAAAGGCCCCAGAGAGGATGGAACAAGGCTGAGTTAAGGGGGGAACCCGCAGGGGATGTACAACCCCAAATCAAGGCTGGATTAAGGGAGAAACCCATGGAGATGGACAACCCCAAACCAAGGCTGAGTTAAAGGGGAAATCCACAGGGGATGTCCAACCCTAAAGCAAGGCTGGATTAAGGGGGAAACCCACCAGGGATGGACAGCCCTAAAGCAAGAATTAAGAGGGAAACCCGCAGGGGATGTACAACCCCAAACCAAGGCTGGATTAAGGGAGAAATCCATGGGGGATGGACAATCCCAAACCAAGGCTGGATTAAGGGAGAAATCCACAGGGGATGCACAACCCCAAACCAAGGCTGAATGAAGAGAGAAACCCATGGGGATGGACAACCCCAAACCAAGGCTGAATGAAGAGAGAAACCCATGGGGATGGACAACCCCAAACCAAGAATTAAGGGAGAAATCCACAGGGGATGGACACCCCCAAACCAAGGCTGAATTAAGGGGGAACCCCACAGGGGATGCCCACGGGGGATGTAAAACCCCAAACATGGAGGGAAGGGAGGGAGGCTTTTCTCAGGAAGGGCTGGCACTCGTGGGTGTCACGGGAAGCCACCCACAGCACCCACTGAGCCCTGCTGGCCCTGGTGCCACCACCCAGCCTGGCTACAGGATCCCCCAAGTGCCTCCTTACAGCAAACAGGGCTGGGAGAGCCAAAAACTGCCCAGAAGGGCTGCAGGAGATGAGGATGAGGATGGTGAAGGGTGGCCAGGGCTTGGTTTGGTGAGGAGAAAGGGGGAAATTGGGTCAGGTTTAAAATAGCCCCTTTGGTTCTGCTTGGCTTCCCCACCCCAACCCCCCAAAATGCTGAGCAGCTTCTGCTTTCACTCTGAGTCAGGAGGGACAGGATGGGGACACGGGGCCCACCCTGGGGACACATCCCACCCTCCCCTGGCCCACAGGAGCCCATGGCATGGCAGCTCCACCCTCACCCTGTTATTGCTGGGACGGCACCCAGTGCTTCTCCCACCGAGCCAGAGCCACCAGTGGGAGCCCCAGACTGGTCCTTACTGGAGAGCCCCAGCCAGCCTTGTCCCTGGAGGCAGCAACACGCACAGGAATCCATTTTGCAGTTATTTTCCCTCTTTGAGGGCAGTTGGGAACTCTTTGAAAATGCTGGAGAGGCCGGAGAGAGAGCAAGGGTGGGGAGATGGAAAAATCAGGAGAGGCATCCCTGATTTTTGCACAGGGAGGCACCAGTGGAGTGGGAGATGGAATTCCTTCCCAAAATCCCATCTATCCCTGCCCTCTGAAGCCATTCTCCCGTGTCCTGGCACTCCAGGCCCTTTTCTCTCTCAGTCTTTCCTCTCAGCTCCCCAAACTTTGCCTTTTCCAGCCCCTTTTCCCCCCATAATCACAGGGGGTGAGGGATCCCTGTGTGCCACATCCCTGCAGTGACAAGGGACAGCTTTGTGCAGAGGTGTCCCTGGCACACACCCAGCCCTGTCCCCTGTCCCCTCTGGCAGTGGTTGCATCAATTTTTCCACGCTTTTTCTCACTCCTGGGCTGCAGGGACACAAAACAAACGAGCAGGTTTGGAGGAGGAGTTTTTGTAACTTCCCCTCCCTGCACCCCTCGTGGCTGCTGAAAATGAGGAACTGGGGCTGCCCTGGGGTGAGGGGGAGCTGGGACCTGCAGGGCCTGGCAATGGGAGGGTCCCCAAACCCCTCTGTGACCTGCAGGGTCCCCAAACCCCTCTGTGGCCTGCAGGGTCCCCAAATCCCCTCAGTGACCTGCTGGCACCTCCAGGGTCCCCCAGCCCCTCTGTTCTGCACCCAGGTGACCCCGGCCTCGTTGTCCCCTGTCCCTTGTCCCTGCAGGGTGACAGCAGAGCCCGTCCCCAGGTTGGGGCACACACGGGGTGGCTTTGTGGGTGTGTGATGAGGTGACAGCTTGGTGACATCAGAACAAACCCTGGGCTGGGGTCCCTGGTGCTCCCTCCCTGCCACCCCCGGGTTTGAAAACCAAAAACGAGGAAGGAAGGAAGGAAGGGAAGGCTGGGCCGGCCCGTGGTGAGCACAAAGCTGTTCTCACTTCTTTCTTCTCCTTTTCCCTCAGTCCCCAGCCCAGCTGGGCCTGGGTGGGTGATGCTCCCTGCCCTGTCCCCCTGCTGTCCCCTCTCCCTCCCGGAGCTGCTCATTGATTTTTCCACTCATAAATGGCCCCAACTGACCTGGAAATAAACCCCAGCAGGGCCCTGGTGCGGTGGCTTTGGGGATTCTCATCACTCAGAGGGTGGCAGGAGGTGTGTGGCACCCGTCAGCTCGGTGCCACCTCGGTGCCACCTCAGCGCCACCTCCCCCGCAGGGTAACACGATCCCCGAGGTGAAATCTGGAAAACGCCTCAATGCCTCAGGGCAGCTCGGGTTTCTGAGGCACACCTGAGCCTGGGGACACTGCAGGTGCTGTGTCCCTTCAGGTGGCACTGCCAGCCGGGGCAGTGGCTCTGTCACCGGCCACGGGGCTGTGGGGCAGCGCCCGATGTCCCTGCAGCCACCCCTGTGTCACCGCCCCGTGTCACCACCGGCTGTCACCGCAGGGCTGGGGGACAGCTCGGGGCTCTGCCACCTCCTGGAGCAGCTCTGGGGATCCTCCATGGAGCCACCCCCCAGTGCCAGGGGGACTCCTGGTGACAGGAGGGAGCACAGCTCCTGGGATGGAGGGAGAGCGAGGAAGGGTCAGGAATAACCAGAAATAACCAGAAAAAAAATCAGAAATAACCAGGAATAACCAGGAATAGCCAGAAATAAATAACCAGAAATAACCAGGAATAGCCAGGAATAAATAACCAGAAACAACCAGAAGTAAATAACCAGAAATAATCAGAAATAAATAACCAGAAATAATCAGAAATAACCAGGAATAACTGAGCTGCTGAGCAGCACAGGGACATTTGGAAGGGAGATGCATTCCCTGGGGGTGCAGCCTGGTCAGTCCCTGTCCTGTGCTCCCCTGGGCTGGGAAAATGGAGTTGGGCTGGAACCATCCCAGCCCCATCCAGAGGATTCTTCCACCCAGGACCTGTTTGGGGCAGGGTTCTGGGACCCCAGGAACCATCCCAGGAGCTGTCTGGGATCCCTGGGAACCATCCCAGCCCCAGGGACTCCTTCCACCTAGGAGAAAAGTTCCTGTGACCCCAGGAACCATCCTGAGCCTCATCCAGAGGCTCCTTCCACCCAGGACCTGTTTGGAACAGGGTTCCTGAGATCCCTGGGGACAATTCCAGCCCCATCCAGAGACCCAGCCCCAGCCAGAGGCTCCCTCCACCCAGGACCTGTTTGGGGCAGGGTTCCTGAGATCCCTGGGAACCATCCCAGCCCCATCCAG